CAATTTTAAACTTAGCAAGGCAAAAAGTCTCCATTCAAGAATATATCTTCTTCTCAAAAGGTAAAATACTTAGAATACTTGATTAAATTGTTTACTTCGACGGTATGTAAATTAACAGTGTTTGCTTGCAAGACGTCAAAAACGGACGATTTCAGCGCGCTGTCGTTTATCGCGTATTCATTTGCCCAAAGAAGTATTTACGTCAATTGAAAGCTTGTTTATTAAAGAGCCAACTAGTAGAAGCATGATCGATTTGGAGCTTTATCCCATGGTGAAAATCGGTTTTGTTAAGAGGGTATCGTAAATGAAGTAAGATAGTGTGCTCCAAAACTACGATTATTTCTATTCCTAAAAGTAACTCAGATTTCTTGTAAGTCACGTACCCGGTCCTTTGAATAACCGAAAACAAGATTTTTAGGGTTTTAGATCGATTAGAAACGGTTGTTGTCGTGAAATTTGTTGGTAAAATCAGCGCATATTTTCCCAGACAAAATGGCGATTTAGGGTGGTCGTGTTAAAACGGCATTTTCTCAAAGTTAAAAAAGCATTTGGCCTAAAAAAATATATGGTGCATTTTCCGATATAATAAGGTATATCTGGGCAAAATTTGAGCAAAATCGATTTTTCAGTCGTGGCCGCGAAATATCTCGTATGTTCGATTTTTACTGACATTCACTCTTAAATCCAATGTCAAATATCTTGGATTGTTTATAGACTCGAATCTAACATGGAAAGTTCATATTGACTATATCTCACTAAAGATTAGTAGAGCTGTTGGAATCATTGCAAGACTTAGACATTTCGTACCTAAACACATGTTGCAAAGGATTTATTATGCTCTGCTTCATCCATATTTCAAACACTCATTAATAATTCATAAGCTTATTGGCAAATCATGTCAACTATAATATGTCACGTGCAGTGGCTTTAAACCTGATAAAACACTGCTAATTAGTATTCTTTATATAAAGAATACTAATAAGGCAGTATCTATTGTTGTTGTGTCCTCATTAGTATTTTCTATATAAAGAATACTAATAAGGCGGTAATATAATAAAACTCGCAGGTCGTGTTTTATTAGGTCTAAAGCTACTCGCGCTGCACGCTTGTGTCTTTAAACCTAATAAAACACTCCTGCTCGTTTATTAAACAGTACTTAAATTATGGCATATCAGTTTGGGGTCAACCATGTAAAACGCATCTCCACCACCTTCTTGTCCTCTAGAAACGGGCTATTCGACTAACGAATTTTGCAAATTTTAGAGAACACGCTGTACCGCTTTTCAGTGCTTCCGGAATACTTCCAGTTAACTTTCCGTACTTTTACAATGTTGCTTGCAATATGCATGATATTATAAATGAAAGGGTGGCCATCAACATGTCATCATTTTTCACTACTACTAGTGAAAGTCACAACTATAATACAAGATCTGCTGTTCGCGGTAATCTTCATCAAACTAAGTCAAGGTTGCATAATACACAAAAATCCTTTGCTAACGCTGGTGTTAAAGTTTGGAACGCTCTATCTATCTCACTCCGTTCATTAAATAAACATAGTTTTACAACACGTTGCAAGATCATTCTTATTAATACCATGATGGCTTGTGATGATTACGTTGATTTTGCCAAAATATTGCAAACAGTTCCGGGGATTAAATGTAATTAGACAATTTTGTTTTTGTTTTCAATATTTCCTACCAATTTGAATTACAATAATTTATACTATTAAGATAAATTGATACACTGTTTATCAATCAATTGAAAGCCCCCTACCTCGAATAGCTTGCTAAATGTAGGTGGTTTCTTGTATATTATTTTGGAAAAAAAATTATTTAATAAAGTAGAAGAACAGCAACATGGATAATTTTGTGATTGAAAAAGGCTGGCAAGAAAATATATATTTCAAGTCATATAGTGTGCTGTATTATACTGTACATGACACTAGCTAGCTTACAGTATGCAGTATCACATATAATACTAATAATACCTAGCTTGCAGGTAGTTGTATATCCTACAAACGATTGTCATCTGGGGGTACTAAGATTAAGTTTGGGGATGGGGGGTGCATATAATATTTTGGATTTTTATGCTCATTGTCTCAGTCTAAATGCCACATTTTACATGTGCCAAATCTAATGTGAATTTTAATATTTGGTTTGACTCAAGTAATAATTAAGTTTGACATTTTGATTTAAATGTTTAATTTATGTACGTAAATTTTCTAGTGAACATATGTAAGTTATACATTTGCCCAAAGTAATTACTTTGCAATATTAAACTAATTATCAATTGATACACATTAAATATGAGACCTTTAAATCAAATATTCAACTGATGTCCCACTTAACCCATTGAGTCCCAGCACTCTCCCCTTGATGAGCAAAATCATCTGGCATTAGACAGAGTGAGATAGTAAATTCTGATTAACATTGAGCAGAATAATGTGAATAAAACAGATATTTTTCCGATAACAAGCAAGTGGATTAATGGGGTGGACAACTGTCATACTCTCACCATCTCATATATGTAAGATAACTGTCCTACTCTCACCATCTCATCTCATCCTCTCACCATCTCTTTATAGTCTATGATTAGACATGCAAAACATGAAGGACAGGGGGGTTGATGCACTTGCTCATCCTGGGGAAATTAAAAAACAGCCATCTCATGTGCATCATGTCTGTGTTTGTGTGATCTAGAAACCTGCCTTTAACCAGTACTAATGGAGCATCAGCAATAGCAAAAACAAAAACAGGTGTGTTTTTCGTGAACTCGATGTCCTTTCGGTTAAACATTTTTGGAGCAGATAAGTGAACAGTATCACCCTCTAGTAGTTGTAGCAAATCTCCCCATGCAATTATTGAAGGATGCCAGCAAAAGTCAGTTAGAACTATCACCTCAACCTCTTCAACTCCTTTCCAGGCAAATGACCCCGTTGCTGGATTTGTAAAGCACTTGAAGATAAGTTTCAGCAGTGTTAAAATGAATGTTTTGTCAGTATTTGCCGGACCGTGGATGTATATGTTGCAATACTTCACACAACCCAAGTGCAATGCGTTGTATACAGCTGCACACAAAGTAGACAAAGAGATTTCGTTCTGGGAAATTTCGTTTATGCGTACAATGGTTGAAATGTTAAGCTCTTGTTCGTCCAACTGATAGGTGGTATACGCTTGCACAACATCCACATCGTTAACAAAAGTGAAATCTAACATGCGTTCAGGGTGTTTGATATGACAAAATTTCATTTGAATCAGACGGATTGTCTGCATTTGCATCAGGTAAATTGTTGGAAAATTTGTCAGTGCAATCATTTGAAACCTTGTCCATAATTGTACTGGAATTTACTGAATTTGAAGTGCAATTTCATGGCTGATTGCATCAGACGGATTGTCTGTGTTTGCATGAGGTAAATTGTTGGAAAATTTGTCAGTGCAAGCATTTGAAACGTCATCCGTACTGGAATTAAATTAATTTGATTGTGCAATTTTCTGGCTGGTTGTATCCGGGATAGCATCCGGTAAAACTATGTTGGAAACTGGAACGTGCAAATTGGACGGAGTTGCGTTGAAAGTATTAGAAAGCTCTCCAATAGTCGTACAGGAATTAATGGGTGGAAGGCAAACATTCACAATCGATGATGCAGACTCAACACTTAATTGTGAGGTGTGTTTCTTATACTTTCGTCAGGTTCTTGAATGTTGGACGAGTTGAAGCAAATTATCCGCTGAAATCAGAAATATGTATGGCATTTGTCCAAGCGCATTCAAATGCTAACATTCCAATGAATTTGTTCTGATGGTAGATGTTCCAATTTTTTGCAACCAACGCTCCATAGTCATGATCATAGCTCTGATCATTCCTTTTGAAGACAATCAATGATTTTGCTGGTGGTAGTTCACCTAAAAAATATTCAAGCACTATTACAATGCGAAACACCCATTTTCTAACATGTGGACACCTAAGTGCCAAGCTAACTTTACTGTAGAATAGTTGAGAAGTGAACAAACAGCAGGCATGTACTGAAATTTCGAGCACAAAATTGCCTTCATCAGCAGATACAACGAATACATTGCACTTAGTTTTCCAATTAATATGAAATTCTTTTCCTTCCACGCATTCGTTAAACAGTTGCAAGGTATGTATCTCTTTTGAACGTCCACACATGCTCGTAATGTACAAGGAGATCAGAACAAAGTCATGTAGGATTTGTGTATGTCTGGGAGAACCTCAATACGAGTAGACTTTCTCCTGCAAGCTTTTGATTGTGTCTAAAAGATGTTGGAACATGAACGTTGATGTCTTATTATGACACAGACCAGTTTAGTCCCGAGACGGTGACTTTGCTGGCGCTGTGACAACTGGCGCTGTACATTCTTCAAACATACTTCCACTTTTTTGCAACCAATGCTCCACAGTCAATTGAGGAACTTTGGGAAAGCAAATTTCTAAAATTTGTTGGAAGACATGATAGCTCTGGTCATTCCTTTTGAAGACAATCAATGATTTTTGCTGGTGGTAGTTCACCTAAAAAATATTCGAGCACTATTACAATGCGAAACACTCATTTTCTAACATGTGGACACCTAAGTGCCAAGCTAACTTTACTGTAGAATACTTGAAAAGCGAACACACAGCAGGCATGTACTGAAATTTCGAGCACAAAACCGAAATTTAAGTAGACGCTCGCGATCTGTAAAACTAGCTATACTAAAATAGGGTTAATTTTCCCATTAATATCATATTTTCGTGAACTGTTATCCAACTCAAAAATACATTTACACAACCATAAAAAATAGATTAATTGAACTGCAATCTTCCGCAAAAACATGTTGACATATTCTAAATAATTTAGAGAATGAGCCCATAATTCTTTTCTGTCTAGGAACCTAACTCGAACCAGAGTGGAAAAAAAGCTGCGGGCATGCTGGCATTGCCCATGAGGAAGGTTTACCATAGGTGAGGTCAGTGAGGAAGGTTTAGTGGCCAATGGTCGCTAAGACCAAAAAAGTAAATCAAACAAATCATGGTTGAGTAAGGCAGTTGAGGCTGACAAGTTGTGGTGGTACTATTGTGATATAGTACCTATGCCAGATGACTATGATATTGGAGAATACTGAGAAGACAATAACTGAAAATATTCTGTAAAATTAAAATGTGTAAGTGTCAAGCATCAGAGGTGCCTTAGGCCGCATAAAATAACTTGCTTGATTCTCATCACCGCCTAACTGCATTTTAAGAGGTGTGATAAAATGTTTTATAGACAATGATTTATATTTCAAGACAGTTAAGGTTTTTATATTTTATATGGTTATATTTTATAGGGGTTTTAGTGCCATTTTAAACTACCAATTCAAACAAACAGAAACTTGAAAGAAATTTCATTGCATTTTACAGGAACTTCGCATTTTACAGGAACTTTGCATTTAGTCCAAGGCATAGATACCTTATATACACTAGATAGTGCATCTAATTATTCTGCAATTCAAAATTGAAGCCGTGATTGCAGTCTCAGGTTGTTCCCATGAAATGAGAAGATTCGTATGTTTTCTATTTCTTAAGCAGGGAACTTAAACATCAAGTTAACCCTATTCCAAATACGTTTTTAAACTATTCAAATGATGAAAGTTATTGTTGTTTTTAAGAATTTATTAGCAAGTGGGAACGACCAACATGGCCGCCATCTATTCAAATGGGGGTAACCGCTGGAATATTCTTGGCTTCATTTTTACTAAAAGAGATGCGCTATATAGTGTATATAAGATATCTATGGTCCAAGGGTTCAGTCCTTGTTCATGGAGATATGTTGGAAATGACAGAAATGTGTACTGTAATATGTTTATTTTGGTTTATGACACTTCACTTCAGAACTCACAGAAATATTAAATTTTAGGAATTATTTTTTTATTTATTGATATATAAATTTGTTTTAAATACTTTATTGGATAGTGACCAAACGGTAGGAGTGCAAATGGGACTCAAGGTCCCATGCGAGGCACTCCTATTAAAGATACAACAACAGACAATACATGTAGAATAAAGTATACATAACTACAGTCATAAATAAACATATGCCACCAACTCGAAAATCAAAGCTAAGATTTATGATGCTTAAAAATTTAGTGATAGCAATAATACTTTGAAATGACAGCATGAGCTCCACCCCCGAATTCACCACATGAGCAAATTCCCATGCAAACACGCCCAAACTCATCACCATGTCAAATCCATGGCACATTTCGGGTTTGTCATAATAATATATTCGCGGCACTTAACACTAACCCCAACCCTAACCACTAACCCTAACTTTTTAAACTTTTTTAACTTTTGAAAATATTAAAACTTTTGTTGTTTTTTTAAATCTTTTTTAAAATCTATTTTGTTGAAAGTCTCCCTTTTAGTGCCATTACATTTATAACAAGAAGTCTCGTCTGATGCTTGTGGTTTTATGATCAACTCTATAGATAAATTCAAAATGCGCCGCAAACCCATCACAATGACAAACCCGGACGCACCCAAGAATCCACTCATATAGCAAATTCAAAGGTGGAGCCCATGTTGGAAATGATGTACGGAACAATTAAATATAGAATTTAAGTAATCAAGCAATAGCATATTGTTTATCTCACACGTTAAACTCTATGACATGAGCAAGTTTGATGTAGTGACCATGTACAGACCATGTCTACGTAACAAGAGATTAATAAATGTAAGTATGTTCTTAATAAAAACGATCTGAACTTAGTTAGGCTACTCAAGTCTGAAGGTTTAGCAGTTCTACACATATGGTTCCAAAGGGGGACGATATACGATTAAAGTACAATGACTGGAATGTACTTGTTTTGCACAAAGGTACTTTGAGCATTAGGCTCGAATTTACACAATTATGGGTACGGCTGTGACTTACGAATGAGACATAATCACAAACATTCAAATCATAATATCCGTACATAGCTTTAAAAAAGAGTGTTAAGTCCTTTACCTCTCCATCGTAAGATAGCGGCAGAAGGTTAACGGCCAACAAACGGTCTTTGCATAAGATCTCTCCTATCTTACGATAATACGTGTAGAGAATTATGGATGAATTGTTTACTTTATTGAGTTGAACGACCACAAATTCAGCACCATCTCTTTCTAAATCACAACGCCGAGTAGCTTGTAATCCTTCTTTAACTGCGATTAGCACACCACCTCCGATCTTTCCATTTCTATCTCTCCGGAAGGTATTGAAGCCTGGAAGAAGTTCAGAGTCAAGGACTGTTTTGTTTAACCATGTCTCGCAAATACAGATAACTTCATAATCGCCCGTGGAAACCAATTCTTGAAGCAAAGTGATTTTGCAAACTTTTTTAGAAGGATTGTTCCCAATTGCTATAAATGACTTTATGCTTCTGGCATTTAGATAAAGGACTTTAAGGTTATTGTTATCAATATTGTGTGAATTTTTTAAACTACGAGCGTTCAAACTGACACATTTAACAGGTTTTGAAGGCCCTGGATTTGTGGCAACGTCACCAACAAGTAAAATAAATAAGAGTTGAGAATAATAATTCTTGATATTAAACTGAAGACCATAACGATGGTAATTGTTCAACGGAAGGTTGTATTTTCGAAGAACATGGTCATGCATTGATGTCCAAAGCAGTCCCAGTCTGCCAGGTATTGATGTAAATTCCAAGCAGATAGAGATGTTTGAAAAATTTGTATTTCCATTGTGACGTGCAATTTCAGGCTTCGATCGTTCGAATAACAAGACAGTTATGGTAAGAATTAAAGTCCACACGAATCCAGAATAGAATGAGCGGCCAAAGGTTTTAAAATTAATGAAGATCATTGTCAAAATTGATCGTTGTCCAAAATTACGCGTGAAAATAACAAACTTGATAAATTAGTTCAGCAGAAATCTGTTGGCTGTTCAGATAACGTCAGCACACAATCACGCACATGCTGGTGAATGCCAACGGAAATTCTTTTAATTACCAAGACCAAAAACACGTAAATTTGTTACTTTTTTCAACTAATACAATTACCAAAACTGTTTGCAAACCTCAGATTGCCATTCACAATGTTCAATGATTCACATTCACAATAGATCCAAAAGACCAAAATATTATTACTGACTGGAAAGCTTGGAAATTGCGCTCCGGAGATTTCGAAAATTCAATAGCAAATATATAGAAAGCATCAACATTTGCGCGCCCGTTGTCTCCGCTGCGCGATACAAATATATGAAATTATGTACAAATTATCTACTTCCCTGCTCGATAACATAACAGTGAAAACGTCGTGATAACTTTTAGTGAATTCTTAATATATTTATTTCAAAAACCCCAAATGAAAAGACACGACTGGACCAAATAGTTGATAGCGAACTTTTGCACGCTATTCCATGGCATAATTTGTCATGGCATAATTTGTCACTCTTTTTTAAAGCTATGTACGGACATTAAAATGACATAATTTGTCATTTTGTGGCGTACCAAAGGGCAAACCTAGAGTCGGTGGCCACTGATGAAGCAAGAAATACAGGAAGCTCCAAGCCAAATTAAAAAACCTGTGCTTTCATTATTATCACATATACAATGTTCAATGTCCAATCTGCTTTCTGCATTATCACTTAATACTCCTCGATAATTTGCTTGTAAATTTACATGTACTTCATTTTCAAATATTTCCACTTTTTTTGGTAGTGTACTTGAAGACCAAATATTTATACCAGTGTTGTTATACAAAATAGTGCCCCAATAAGCAATTGCAGAAACTGTATTCGAATCCCAATAATTGCATGGCTTAATAGTGGAGTACCAAATAGAATATAATGCAATTGCACAACATTGAGAAATGTCAGAACTACATGCACATGTATTAGTTTCCTGTGAGACATTACCACTACCAGGCATACCGTTTTCACTAAGGTTTTGGGCGTGGTGAAAAGAAGCTTGTTGTTCTTCAATATTTACTCCTCGTAGCTCAAACTGACTGTTTTCACCGTATAATGACTGTAAATGCAAAACAACATGGTCGATAGTTGCTGTCTCTAACAATACACAAGTCCCTTGTGGATGGCTTCTACCATATATATCCCTTGAATGAGAGTCAAATATTTTGTATTTCCCATCATTTATGGAATATATGCAAACTGCATTGGAATCAATTGTCAATATAAATGCAGCAAAGTTTTCAGTCAGTAGCAACTCAAATGCTCGATGAAATGGTACACAGTACTGATACCCTTCAATATGACTTTCTCCAAGTAGTCTGCCACTATAGCTTTCACTGTACTGGAGAATATAATCTGTGTTGAATACTGTAAGTTGCGTAGCAGTTCTGTAAACATTAGAAATGATTGGGTTGTCGAACGTGCCAAGTTTGAGTATAATTCATTGCCAACATTCATTAACCGAGCCAAATCTTGTGATGAGTAAATGCCCTGTCTTTTATTGTATATGAGCGCACATAAACACATGGCCAAACATTGCTGTCCTGCTGTTTCGCCAAATATAAGTTCATTTCCCTGACTATATGGTGCACTTATTGTCATGCTAGGATCTATATACAGGGTGTATAAAAAAAAACGGAGTCCAACTTTTGTGCTTAATAACTTTCGGACTGCTACTTCTGATAAAACGGTTTTAGGCTTATTTTAAAGCCTGTTCATTTATCTTTCGACCAAATGGTCATTCGTGTCTTTAGTGCAAGTCATAAATGCACAGGAGAAAATTTAGTAAAACCTATCATGTTTAGATGCCGCTTAATTATACAAATTTACTGTGTTATTCCATAGTCGGTTGCAATGTTTGAATTTTCTTGTTCAAACTTTAATGTTCTTGTTGCCACATCGGAAAAACTAGTAAGAACTTGTTAAAAACATTCTAAAAGAGATTAGGTTGTTTTATTTATTTCAAAATCCTATATTATTTCCAGAAATCATCAAAACAACCTTACGTCCAAATTTTTGACTCTCCAATCGCAATCACTTAAAATATTATTATTCACGAACTTCTGGATTATATTTACGAAACAACCCACCGTTGAAAAGCTGAATGTCTACGCTTTAAAATGAATGTAAACCTGAACGTTTTGCTTTAATATTCGTTTCGAAATTTATATTATAAGCGAGGACTCCGTTTTTTATGATACATCCTGTAGTATACAGGTCCAGGATTGGTCTCGATGTCTGAACAAAGCGCAGACTGATGGCCATTTATTATGTGATTTAAAGTTTTGTATACCTGTCGCATACAAAAGTCGCGATTGCCAAATGCGGTGTAACAAAAATCAGTGCCAGTGGCACAATTTTGGGGAATTGATGTTGACATATTAACACATTGGAAGGCTTGCATAGTAATGTTTTGCTTTTGAGCAGCCCTTGAGAATTGACTGTTTTCAGAATTCACACCTTCATCTGTACCTTGTGAAGTTATAAATACAATCTGGTGGATTGTCAGCTTATCACGTGTGTCACATTTTGTATGCATTAATAATGTAAACATATTTAAATAACATTTTGAATAAGATTTTGAGAAACGTTTGATGTCTTTGATAGCAACATGATAGTACCTTTCGGTAATTTTGTATTCGTGGGTCATTGGCCTGGTTCGAAAACGCTCAACATATTTTAGTGTAGGCCTTTCCACAAATAATGCATGTATGTACCCGAAGGTATATTTGCATTTTTTGTACCCGAAGGTATGTTTGTATTCATGAATCATAGATCCAGTTCGAAATCGCTCAGCATCTTTTAGTGTAGGTCCTCTCTCCTCCGCAGAGGTTTTAGTTTTCTTAGGATTTAATATTACGATGAAATACATTTCACTACACTTTACATGGCGGATCTTGGAACACGAGCGTAGCCGCTGGGCGAAGGAGCGCAGGCGGTTATCACGAATATGTGCATATTCATGCGAGATGAGCGTATCTGAAGATAAAATACATTCAGTACTTACCCTGTGAAACATCTATCAGGCTTCAATCTTGAATCCTTGAAAACTATACAAAAACATTCACGATATTTTGTCCTTTCACTCCTTGAGCAGAGAATCTTGAGCATTGAACTAAATATAACTATAGTTATTTATAGTTCAATGATCTTGAGTCCAGGGTTGGTAGGCTTTCGCGCATGCACAACGCCAAATGACCTTTAAAAAAAGGCCAAATTCTACTAAATAAGGCCAAATTTCATTTTTTTGAAAAAAGCCAAAAAAGAGCCAAATCTTATCAATATTTTCGACTTTGCAGTATGTTGATAGATAAAAATTTTAAATTTTATCATTTTTGAGACGGACCTCTGCGAAGACATAGCTACCATGTTGTCATTGGTTAGTTTTTCAGCTTTACGATTGGCTGAATTTCCTGAGATCGAACTGAGTGTCAATAACATTAGGTTATCTATGTCATTCTTACATTCTTACATGTTGCTTTATGGTTTAACATTCCTTCACAATAAATTATACTAACAAATAGTGAAAATTCCTGTCACTTGATAAAAAAGCCAAAATACAGCCAAAAGGCCAAACATTTTTTTCAAGGCCAAACAAGAAATAAAAGAGCCAAAATCGAGTTATTTGGCCGCAAAAAGGCCAAGTTACCAACCCTGCTTGAGTCCTTGTCACAAATGTTTCCACTTAAATATAGACAATTTTCCTCAATTTTCCAACTAAATATAGTTCTATAATTCAATGTCGTTGTCTCACATGTTTCCACTTCAATATACTCAATTTTCCTTAAAATCGTGACGTGTCATAATGGAAATTTGTGTACAACGGAGATTTGCGATCTGCGATTGGAGATCCGCGAAAAAAATGCGTGCCGAAACCTAGAGTCGCTGTGGGCACAGTGCCCCAGCGACTAATAACACGATTTATACACGAGGCCTGACGAGGCTAAAGTATGCCCGTTCGCAGGTTAGATGCGGGCACGATGTAAACAATTGATGTAAACGAATCGCTGATTGGCTTAAATTGGCTTAAATTATATAAGCTCGTCGCTGAATGGCTATCTGTTAACATACGGTACGGTACGGTCACGGCACGTTTGCGATAGCATATATATCTGCTTCGCAGATACAAAAATCGTACGAGAATTTTTTTTAATCCTCAATAAGCCCTGATTTTGGAATAAAAAAAATTCGGCTCGTACCATTTTCTTAAAACTTGCACATTTTACGCACTTCAAGATTACAGGAAAGTGTGTGAAGTTTTAAAAAATTTTACCGAAGTAAACACGAGAAAAATACATTTATTTTTATCTATGTGACGTCACAAAAATCAGGATTTCAATTTCCTCGCGCGACCAACCGACAATCCCACGAAAGCTCGCGCGTGTATATATCACGACGCAAGTTTAAAAAACCCGCCATGCGTGCAACGTCGACCACGCGTGTTGCGTGTAGCACTACTAATCTCGCGCGTGGACAAAATTTCCGCGACACAGACCTAAACTGTGGGGAGCCACCTTATGGTATTTCCGCGCGTTTGACTTTACATCAATATGTCGGGCAATTCCATCAATGGCGGAAAAATGTTTGTCCCCCCCTCCCCCCCCAATTTTTTTCTGCCCGTGTGCCTATGGTCAGCATTGAATAAACTGTGTGAGCAGCTGGGAAATTTGCTACCGCTATGCAGAGAAATTGCTGGCGGACGTAAACCAGTAACCAAGAGCTATAAAACAAATATCTTCTCAAAAAGATAAAATTTATTCAGTCAAAAGGATGAGGGTAAATAAACATGCTACTGCGTGATAGTGATTTCCAAGCAACTATGTCACATATATTTAAAAAAGTGGAATAAAATAATGAATCAGATTTTGCTTTTTGCAATCCCAAAAAGGTATGAAAATTATTTAAATATTTAAGGTTTCCATGTTTATAAAGTATTTTTTAAGAGAATGAAAATTTTCCCCTGAAAAAAGCATAGTTTGTGCAGAAAACTGTTTTTTTTAGATAGAAGATCCTGGGAGAGGGGGTGTTGAAGCGTGGGCAGATAGCAAAAAACCTTGACTTTTGCTCCAAAAAATGAATACCAAATTTTGTCAGGCCTTTGTTTAATGTGTAATTTAAACAAGATTTTTTACATCTAAAAATTCCGCCTCAAAACTTAGATTCTGTTTGCAGTATTGGCTATTTGTTTACTTTTGGAGGTCAAAGTTTGAGGACCAATTATTTTTAAAGTTTGCACACTACCCAGCTAATACTTGGCTGTTGTTTGCAGCCTTATATGCGGCAGAATAAGAACTTTTGTTTATCAATAAGTAATAGTTGTCCGAAAATACGCATCTAAATCGTGATTTTTTTTAAAAACTGTATTGAGTCACCTTAAAGAATCACAGTCAACAGTGATGCTTTGCGCGCTAAAATGTTTTGTATTCCGCCATTTTATTAGCCACTTTAGTGACGAAAGATTGACATTCGAAGTGTATCCTCATCAATCTGCATTATTCTTAGACGATGTCATATTTTTCATAGTTGGAATATGTTAATAATCATTGATTGACCCTGGGGCATTCGAAGCATTTTGCATGTCATTTGTAATGAATTATAGCCGAAACTTTGTTTACATAATCCATATATTTCTTCGACAAACACACTTTATACAAATATACAAACTTACAAACATATCGAAAGTGTTCGTTCTCAAAAACAATGTGCTCAGTCACGTGACTGGCCCGAGTTTAGGTTCAGATCGTCGCCTGCGTGCAGGCCTCGTAGTAATGTTCTTTACACTCCCCGGGCTGGTTACTTAATGTAAACAGAACTAATTAACGAATACAACAATTTTAATTAAAGTAACTTATTCTTCAAGAGTTCTCCTCTTAAAAGTTCATTGGCAATCGCTGCTGCACGTTGAGGTCGACCGCGGTTTTCTCTTGAATCTTCCACAACCGCCAATTTCTCATTTTGGTTCCGTTTGATCTCGTCTACGTTGGAATCTTGACTAACTTCGAGAGGCACTAGATGTTGAATAGACCTTCTTAACATGTCCGATTTTCCGTTCTCGTTACTAACCCTGACCTTGGCCGCACGAACCATTCCATCATCGCCTGATATGAGTTCCTCCATCTTTCCGAGTCGCCAGAAATTCCTGTTCGTTTTGTCATTCTTAACTATAACGATATCGCCTTCCTTAAGCTGTTCCGTTTTTTGACGTAGCCCGTTCACTTGTGCAATCTCGCGTAAATTCCTCAAATATTCCTTTCGCCAACGCGTTGTAAACTGACACAAGATCTGCTTGTGACGCCTGGCTCTTTTGGTTAACGATGCGTTTGTGCTAACGATCTCGTAATGTTGGCTGTTTGGTCTTGAACAAATACGTCGTCCGTTAATTAATTGCGACGGTGAGAGCGCATAGGAAACCGATTCTTCGTCGTCGTAAACGTAAGTTATTGGCCGTGCGTTTATTATTCCTTCAATTTCTATAAGCACAGTTAACAGTTTGTCATAATCGAGAGTCGTTCGCCCCAGGATTTTCTTGAGAACAATCCTAACACTTCGCACGAGTCGTTCCCAAAAACCACCCCACCAAGGGGCTCTTTCCACGATATATTGCCATGTCACGCCTCGACCTACGAGAAAGTCCTGAACTTCCTTGGATCTACAAATCCGTTCCACGTCCTTGGACGCAGATTTGAACGTCGTCGCGTTGTCGGATATCAAAACCGAAGGTAAACCCCGCCGGCTCACGAAACGTCGAAAACTCAGCCGGAATGCTTGAGTACTAAGAGCTCGAGTCAATTCAAGGTGTACTGCCCGAGTTGCGGCACATGTAAATAAACAGACATGAACCTTGGAGGATGAAGTCCCTTTCGTTGCGTTCTTTTCGGTAATATACAACGGACCCAAAAATCTAATCCAGTGTTCGCGAATGGTGGAGCGTCATCGACTCTGATTTTGGGTAAATCTGGCGTTGGTTGTGGACTGAACGGTCTTGCCTGGTGCCTACGACATACTAGATAGATAGATTGTTTGTTTGTTTAATAAGATTAACACATAGCAGCCAATAAGGCTGAATTGCGTGCTAAATTTTACAAGAGAAATGATTAAAATTAGTTATTCTATATTTACAGAAGTTTAAAATTACATTACAATTTATAATTCTATATTACAGAAGTTTAAAGTTACATTACAAATTAGCTATGAAACTAGTAAATTTCTAAAAAAATGTTAGCCAGTCTAAAACTGAATATCAGAATCGATTGTCAGTTAATATTATTGATATGCCTTGCAGATGAAGGGAAAAAACTGTTTCTAAATCTGTTCGTTTTGGTCTGAGGAACAACAAAAGACCTTGAGTGTCTAAGGTCGTAATTTGGAAAGTATCTAGATGGTACATGATTATGCATATTAGCTACTGGTGTTGTGGTGATTTCATTAAACAGTTTCTCGCATGCATCCACACGCCTGTCACTTAATGGTTTGATGCCCGATTTTTGTAAACAATCCGCATAACCTGTCAGTGGATAGATGATTGATAAAACACGCTTTTGAACCCGTTCCAGGGCATTAGATAAGTAGGAAGGAAGGGCGAAGTGGAAAACTTGACAGCTGAATTCCATGACTGGTCTGACGCAGGTAGTGTAAAAATTTATTATGTCAGCTTCAGGTACATGAGCACGTTTCAACTGAATAATAAAATAAATCCGTTTGTTCGCCTTCTTAACTATGTTAGTTATGTGTTGGTTCCATTTTAGATCTTTAGAAATTGTCAAACCTAGGATTCTTGCGTGGTTCACTGTCTCGATTTGGCATGAGATGATCTTAAGGCGCGGAAATTCTTTCTCAGGTTTTGTAAAACTGATAACAAGTTCCTTGCACTTGGAGGCATTTAATTGCATCTTGTTTTCTACAGACCAATTTTGAACACAATCGACTGTATCTTGAATTTTACTGGGTGTGTTGATGTAAATGATTTCAGATACCGTAGCATCATCGATGTATTTCCATCGCTCATGATGTGGGGGCGTAGGTCATTTATCATTAGGATGAATAACCAAGGTTCCAATTTGGTTCCTTGAGGGACACCGGAAGGAATGTCAATCCATTCAGACATACAGTCTCTTGCAAGTTTCACCCGTTGTTGCCTGTTCATCAGAAAGTCAATTACCCACCGCTTAATGAAATTTGGCATTGGCAATTGGATGATTTTCGTGGCTAAGATCTTATGATCAATCAAGTCGAAGGCCTTTTTATAGTCAAAAAGAACCACTCTTACAGCGTTTCCAGTTCCATCTGTGGCTTGAGTCCACGCATGAACCATAGAAATTAAGGCTTTTGTAGCAGATGATCGAGGGATGCCACCAAATTGAAAAGGATCAATTGACGACAACACTGCTGGAGCGATATATTTTTCAACAACAAACTCTTCTGCAAGTTTAGACAGAACCGGAGTTAACGAAATAGGTCGGAGCTGTTTGAGCTGTTTGCTTATGTCTTTAACAGGTTTCTCTTTCGGAATAGGTGTAATGTTAGCTTCTTTCCAGCATGAGGGCAGTCTTTTTTGCTTGTAGGACGAATTCAATAAGTCCGATACAGAGGGAGCAAGGATTTCGGCATAATCACGAAGAATCCAATTGGGGATATCATCAGGGCCCGGAGCTTTATGCGGGTTCAAGCTTTTCAGTTTTTCCAAGACCGATGCAGTATTTGTCAAATTCATGTTTACATCTAACGGATAATCAGGAATCTCCTCAAACAAGGTGTTCAAATCTGTAACATTTAAGGGATCATAAGTATTCATTGGTTCTATTAGGCTTTTGTTAATTAAATCTGCAAAACCTTTGTTTGTTAAATGTTCTGTATCTTCGACATGAAGTTGGTTAAGCAAACTGCCAGATACAGGTCTCATACCGGAGATACGTTTAACCTCTGTCCACCAAGATTTGGGGTTAGACTTTTTTAGATTAGCAACTTTTGAAGCAAAATAGTCTGCCCGGCAAGATTTTCTCATTCTATTCACTTTATTTCGGTAGAATTTGAAAAGAGTAGTGTTATTAGATGAAAACGCACGTTGTCGAAACTTGATCAGCTGTTTCAATTTTCGGTTATCCATGGGTTGTCGTTGCGATGGAATTTAACGTGTTTCTCAGGCATAAGGATGTCATAACCCGTCTTTATTGCGGAGCATAAGATATCACAATTCTTATCGCACGGTTCGGAGGAATCGATAAGTTGCCAGTCAAAGTTACTCAGATATCGACCAAGTTCTTTTTTGCGTGATTGACGTATGTCTCTTTTTATTACTGTCTTTCTACTTGTGGTTTCTGATGATGTTTTAACTTTGGGCTCAACCATTATCACATTATGGTCTGATAATCCGAAAGGAGGGAAAACCATGGCTGGTTGTACATCGTAAAATTTATGCATGTTTGTAAGTATAAGATCCAAAATCTTGGCACCACGAGTTGGTTTATCAACCAATTGTTTTTACTGAAAATCTCGGCAAAGATCTTTAGTGTCAAAGTGGTTAAAATCACCAGCAATAATAATTCCACAGCCTGGAAAAAGACTTTCCAGTAGTGTCAGTGAGTCTGATAGGTATTGAAAAAGATCTGTATTGCTGGAACTTGGAGGATGGTAGACGCACGCAGAAACAATGCCGTTAATTCTCCTTGGTAATCTTGGTGGTCTAATGTGTGTCCATAAAACCTCAAAGTCTAAATGTTCAATTTCAGGTAATCGTTTGAAACGGATGGAATTCTTTATGTACATTCAGACACCACCGTGGATACCAAGACTACGATCCCGCCTCACGAGGTGGTAATCAAATAAAGTCGCGTGGGTGTCACAAACGGACTCTCGCAGCCAAGTTTCAGTTATAAAACCCAAATCAAAACTTTGTGCAGAGGTCAAAATACGTAGCTCGTCAAGCTTAGGAACTAGAGACATGACATTGGTTAGCATAATTTTTGGAACGAATTCAGTTCTTGGAGAATGAGTTTTGGTAATAGGAATTTTAACAAGGTTACTGAGATTTCGAGTACACATTGGTTTGAGTCGGCCGAAATGCTGTCTTCTAGACCTTCCCATACCGTGTACTGTAGAAATGTTTTGCAAGGGTGTCTCCGCCATTATACAAGGGTTGAGTAGCTCCCATTCTGGGTCGAGTTTATTTTCTTCTGAGTTGTGTTCATGTCATGATATTTTGGTCGCCATGGTTTGCAAGTAACAAACGTGGGCCAGAAGTTTTCCTTCTCCACCAGTGCACTGGCGCCTGAGGGTATATGGAGTTTACACGAAAGAGTCTCTCGACGGCGGCTTCGAAAAACCGAGATATAAGTGGGGAAAATATTTCTTTGATTGAGGTAAGAAAGGATTTGACTTTTGTTTACACTTTCAGCGATTCCTGTTACGAACAATTTCTTAGTCTTACCACGTTTACGCTGTACTCCAATAAAATCATCAGGCGACTGTCCGGCCTCAGAAACCACACTCTGCGAGGTATGCTTCGAATTCTTGCTTAGGTTATTCTTGATAGGATCTTGGTGGTTTGTTTTGGTAGCGGTTTGATTAGCCGTTTTTTCTGCGTAGGTAGGGTGATGTGCTTTCGTACTATTATTATCTTCTATAGAAACATCAGCGGATGCACTATTTGGGTTCACTTCTATAGGATTTACGGAAGCATTCCCGTTTAACTCGTTAAACTGATTATTGTATTCTTCACGATTAATTGGCCTTGGTTCGGTAGTGCTCCCATTGTTCGTTCGAGGATTAGTCGATTCTTGTATGACAAAAGAATTATCAACACCAGCACTGTCGGCATCTACATAATCAGTAAGCTCGTCCGATACGCAAGGTTGCTTTGGCAAAGCGGAAATATCGGAATCAGTCTTGTTTTTGTTCACCAAATCTTGTAACTGAGAAGTTATATACGAGATAGAGACTGGATTGCTTCGCCATTGATTTGTTGACCCAGTTTTAGACCTTCAATATCCGTATGCACATCATCACATAATTCATTTTATAGTTGAGTGTGGGCTGAGGCAGATACTTGTCAATTATTTGCATGATAATTACACATCCGTTTACATAACTCTCTCATGATTTCGGTCGCATTTTCTCCATTGATGGAAAGCAATCCCTTATTCTTTCTCCATAGTATAGTTGATGTATCACAACTAAACAACTTCCTATCACCTCCAGGCTGTTCCCAAGTTCCTTTGAGTTGTAAATCTTCACTTACAAACAGTTTTAGAGACAAATCCTCAAGTGATGATCCTGAAGTAGGCCCAGATGAAGAGAGTGATGAGTCAGTCATTAGCTTGAATACTTACCCAAAGTTCAAAGAGTTATGTCGTTTCCTGACAACTGAGGCAAGAATCGCCTGTCATCCCGTTACAAGCCAGCGATCCTTAAAGAGCGAAGAAACGTCCAATCTCAATAAGAAAAAATGGATTCCTAAATCGGGTGGTATTGGAGCTAGGAGTTTTGCTACTGGTAGCAATGAGGAGCAAAGGTGTAGACAGACCAACGAGCAAGTTAATCAACAAGACATCGTAAAATCAAAACCGAGATGCAGTTATTGTAAGGAAGAACATGAACTCGGTACGTGTGTCAAATTCCTGGAGATTTCTATACCAAATAGACGAACATTTATTATTTCGAAACGTCTTTGTTGGGGATGTTTGAAATGGGGTCACTATAATCGTTCGTGCAGGCGGAAAAAGAACTGTCGTACATGTGGCGAAGTACACCCTGCTGCATTACACGGGGACAAGCCAAACCAAGGCAAACCACATGGAAATCTTAAGCCGAAGGAAGTGCCAAAACCCAATGAAGAAGTCAATTCGCAAGAAAGCACTACTATTTCTAACTGTATAGAAGTCCTCGATACGAAAGCTACGGGTGAGCCAGTTTCTCATTCGCTTATAGTACCAGTGTGGGTCCATCACTTCAACGATACGGGTAGGAAGATATTAACTTACGCTTTGCTGGACGACCAGTCTGACGATTGCTTCATTAAAGACTCTGCGCTCGAAGCGCTTGGAATTAATGGTCCTGAAGTAGAACTCGAACTTTCTACAATTTTAGCCCAGAAAAAGATTAAGAGTAGGAAGATTACTGGCCTTGTTGTTCGTGGACGAGACTGTAGATATAGCCTTACCAAGGACTTACTCACGAGACATCATACCTGCACGACAAGATCAATGTCCGAGAAGAGAAACAGCAGTAACGTTGCCGCATTTAAAGAGAATCGCAAGTCATCTAACGCCATTAAAGAAAAACGTAGAGGTCGGATTACTCATTGGCGCAAACTGTACACACGCTATAAAACCTCGCGAAGTTTTACCTGGAAAGGACAACGATCCCTACGGTATTCGAACTGCGCTCGGCTGGGGTATTGTTGGTTCAGCGACGCATCACCCGGAGGAAACCAACAAGGATTCTGTTCAAACACACCTCATCGTTACTCGCGAAGTCATTGGTGGTAAAGAAAGAACAACTTGCCAATTCGTGTTAAAAACCCGAGTAAAAGAAATTCTAACACCTGCCCAGGTCGGCGAAATGTTCGAGTTTGATTTCAACGACCGAGATAAAAGCAGCTCCCCACTGTCGTACAATGACCGGCTGTTCATGAAAAAAGTAGAAGAACAGATCCATCAACGATACGACGGTCACTTTGAAATCCCCTTACCCTTAAAGAATCCAGAAGTTAAACTTTCCAACAACAAGAGTCAAGCAATGAGTCGACTTAACAAGTTAAAGGACCGATTTAAGAACGATCAAAGCTATCAGAAGGACTATTCGACATTTATGGAAGGAAATATCAAATCTGGTTATGCTGAACGCGTTCCCGACGATGAACTAATTCAAGAAAACGGTGTCGTTTGGTTCCTGCCGCACCACGGCGTGTATCACCCTAAGGAGCCTGACAAAGTCAGAGTGGTGTTTGATTGTAGCGCTGAGTTTAAAGGAGAATCCTTGAATCGTCATCTTCTTCAAGGACCAACAACCAACAACCAACAACCTCGCCTAAGTCCTGGTCAGATTTCGCCAAGAAAGAACCGCGATTATGTGCGACATAGAAAGCATGTTTCACCAAGTACATGTCAACGCTGAACACCGAAATCTACTCCGTTTTCTTTGGTGGCCGGATGGTGATGTTAATCGTGATCCAGTCGAGTACAGAATGACCGTTCATTTATTTGTGTGCCACCTCCTCACCCGGATGTGCGAATATCGGTTTGAAAACGACCGCTGATAAATATAAGGAAGAGTTTGGCAACGCGGCTGCTAGTTTCGTTCGACATGATTTTTACGTAGACGACGGTCTTAAATCAGTTCCATCTCCCAGCGAAGCCATCGACTTGATAACGAAGACAAAGGGTTTGTGTGAAAGAGGAGGATTCCGTTTGCATAAACTCGTATCTAACAGCAAGGAAGTGTTGCAATCGCTCCCACCAGAAGAAAGAGCGAGTGGAATTAAGAACCTCAATTTGGACCACGAAAAACTCCCAGTTGAGAGAGCCTTGGGTGTGCAATGGTGCGTCGAATCCGATACTTTACAATTCAAGAACGAAATGAGCGAACGTCCCGCTACCAGGCGTGGGGTTCTTTTAGCCGTCAGTTCCGTATTTGATCCCCTTGGTCTCCTGTCACCGTTTGTCCTAGAAGGAAAAAGAATACTCCAAAAATTATGCAAGCAGGGAACAAGCTGGGACGAAAAAATTCCAGATAATCTTCTCCCGAGGTGGGAAAAGTGGCAACGTAACCTGCCTCTACTTAACGCCCTGCAACTTCGGAGATGTTATAAACCTCAAGTCTTTGGCAAGATCAAGACCGTCGAGCTGCATAATTTCTCCGACGCCAGTTCCTATGGATACGGCCAGTGCTCATATTTAAGACTAGTGGACGATCAAAACCGAATCTATTGTACCCTAGTGATGGCCAAGTCTCGAGTTGCCCCACTTAAACCTATTACAATTTCTCGACTAGAGCTCACTGCTGCACTGGTATCTGCCAAGATTAGTGACTTTCTACAGAAGGAGCTAGAATACGACGAGATGAAGATATTCTACTGGACGGACAGCAAAGTTGTCTTGGGGTACATCGCGAATGACGCCCGTCGTTTTCATGTATTTGTCTCCAACGGAGTTCAGCAAATCCGTGATTTAACTTCACCGAGTCAGTGGAGATACGTGGATACAAAGTCCGACCCAGCTGACTTTGCCTCTCGTGGGATGGGCGCGGAAGACATCATCTCTAGAACTGAATGGTGGAATTGTCCCAAATATTTATGGGAACCTATTGACTATGACCAAGGATATATCGACGATGATACTGCTGCCCTGTCGCCTGACGACCCAGAAACAAAGAAGATATCATCCTTTGCAGTGCAAGCACAAGAGGATCTTGTTATAGCTGATCGTCTTCAACACGTTTCCAACTGGCACAAAGCCAAGAAAGCTGTTGCAGTCTGTTTGCGTTTTAAAGAAAAACTCATCGCAAAGGTCCATAAAAAACTGCTTGCAAAGGTGATCACACGAGAAATCATTCGAAAGAAAACGAAGCTTCACACAGCCCAGACACACCCAGCAAAGGCGTCGAGGTGGAAGATCATCTGAATGCGGAGAAAGAGATCGTGAAGAATGTCCAAGAACGAGCTTTCAAGAGTGAGTTGACAATTCTTCAATCGATGAAAGAAGACGCCGTTATCCCCAACAAGCGCAGTAAGAAATTAAAGAAGGCAAGTACTTTATCCCGCCTGGATCCGTTCATCGACTGCGATGGGATTATGCGAGTGGGTGGTCGACTCAGACATGCTGAATTGCCAGATAACGTAAAGCATCCTTATATCCTACCTAAGAAAGGACATGTGACTGACTTAGTTATTTGTTATCATCACCATAGGATTCATCGTCAAGGTCGCGGAATAACACTCGCCGCCATTCGTTCGTCCGGTTTCTGGATTATCGGCGGTGGTTCAGCTGTCGCTAGACACATATTGAAATGTGTCACGTGTCGTAAACCACGTGCTGCTACCCAAGACCAGAAAATGGCGGATCTGCCGACGGATCGAATTGAACCCAGTCAACCATTCACGTACAGCGCCGTAGATTATTTTGGTCCGTGGCTGGTGAAATCTTTAATCCTTAATAAAATTTCTTTTAACACGGTAGCCTATTCAGTATAATATATACAGTCTGTTTTTCAAAGGGCCGTGCTATATAGTATTAAACACACATTAACTATGGATATTTACAGTTAATTACAGCACATAATTATTACACACTCCATTAATTTCGGAAATGCATTATACATTATTCATGTGCAAGCTTAAGGGTTAAACGCCGTTTGAAATCGGGTAAAGATAAATCCTGAATGTTATTAGTTACTTCATCCGATAATTCGTTCCACCCTTGTGCTGCTCTATAAGAGAAACTTCTTTTAAGAAAGTTAGTTCTTGGTTTAGGCAAAGATAGTTTAACATTATTGCTTCTTAGAGAATAATTACTATTTTCGCATCTCGTGAAGAAATTCTGCACATAATCAGGTAGTCTGTTAGTTAAAGCTTTAAACGTCATAATGATTTCTCTTTTCTTTAAAATGTCTTCAATTGGCATCCAATTGAGACTTTCTAGTATTTGAGTGGAACGAACATCGTATGATTGTCCTGTGATAACCCGAGCTGCTCTTCTTTGTAACTTAGAGAGTTTTTTAAGAATGGTATTAGATCCATCATTCCATATTGTTGAGCTACATGTCAGGTGCGGAGATACTAGAGCATTATACATTTTGATTAGAATGTGTAAAGGAACAAAGGACTTGGCTCTTCTTAGTAATGCAATATTTTTTAACATTTTTTTTTACATTGTGCGTCAATGTGTATACCCCACTTTAATTCATCGTCGATGATAAAACCAAGAGATTTTTTGTTGGTGACCCGTTTAATATTATTATCTCGTATCGCTAATGAAATCTCTGGGTTGTCTTCAAATTTAGTAAGATGATGTCTAGAGCCAATGTGAAAGAAGGCCGTGGAGAAGTAAAGAGATATGGAGTGCTTTTTCGTGTATGGCATCACGCGCCGTATATCTCGAAATTGCGCATTCCATGGACCTTAGCTGTCTGACGTGGGCCTGTCAGACAGCTAAGATCGGACCGTGGAACAAATTTTGTTGGGTGTCAAACCGAACTGAAGAAAGCTCTTCTCGAGATGGATGAGGAAAAAATTCGTGAAAGTTCAAGACCAGTGCGATTGGATCAACGCAGAAATGAACGTTCCCTACGCAAGCCACATGGGTGGTGTCTGGGAGCGACAAATCCGAACCGTCCGTAGTGCATTGTGCACTTTCCTCAACCTCCATGGTACCCAGCTGGATGACGAGTTGCTCCAAACCCTCATGGTCGAAGCCGAAGCCATAGTAAACAGTCGCCCCCTCACAGCTGATAATACATTTCCACTCGAACCGTTGACTCCAAACCACCTTTTGACGTCTAAAACCAACGTCGTTCTACCTCCGCCCGGCGTTTTCCAAAGAGCCGAACTATACTCGAGAAAACGGTGGCGTCGTGTCCAACATCTAGCAAATGAGTTTTGGGATCGTTGGAGGAAGAAGTTCCTGCAATCGCTAAAAACACGACAAAAGTGGCTACGACCAAAAAGAAATTTGAAGGTTGGTGATGTTGTAATCCTGCAAAACGATGAGTTACCGCCAAATCGATGGCAACTTGCTCGGGTACAAGATGTTTATCCAGATAAAGATGGGCTTGTTCGAAAGGTCAAGATCGAAGTAGATGATTGTGCTCGAGATAATAATGGGAAACGTGTCCATGCCGAAACCCTATCAGAGAGACCTGTTCACAAGCTAGTCCTGTTGGTATCTGAAGAAGAAGAAGGAGAAGAAGACCGGGGATTCCTCCAACGAGGAGCCATGAGGAACCGTAAAGATAAGTGAACTGTTAGCGTGTTTACCACACAGTACTTGATTATTAAATAGTTGTTGTTATGTTTAAATTGCTCCTATGGACAATTTAGGAGAGCCATGTAACGTAATCTTCATAATTTATCTTAATTATGCCGTTTGGCGCGAAACACATAAATAATTATCGCCACGTTGTTTACTGTACGTATGGAAAAACTGTATCTCGAATCTCGATCGTTTATGTCGTAGTAAAGCGGGGAAAGAGGTACGTTGAACGTTTAGGGTGACATAGTTTACTTGTTTTTAGTCTAAGTGTGTGTCTTTATATGATGTAATTTAGTTTATTGTGTCTTATTTCTTGTAGTTTTTACGTGCTGATTTATCACTAAAGTTTATACTATTTGTATTGTATCGTGTGTGTCTGGAATATCGGCTCAGTAAAACCCCCGTTTATAAACCAATCCAAGCAACCGTTACATATCCCCCCCCCCAACTCATACCAATTCCTATAGGTACCCTAGTTCCTACCATTGATGAGCCTACTGTTATTAATTTTTTGACGAAACTAAAACGAACCGCGCCAGGTCCTGACGGGCTTCCATATTGGTTATGGAAAGACTTTACACAACTTTTAGCGCCCATAATTACCAAAGTGTTCAATCTCTCAATCGAACAACAATGTGTCCCCCTGATGTGGAAGCTCGCCAATGTGAACCCTATACCCAAAGAATCTCCTTTGACAGAGTGTAATCAGTCGAGGCCTATATCGCTCACAAACATCATTAGAGATTATTTGAAAGGGTAGTTTATAAACAGGAGATTGCGTCTGCATTCAAATCCGTGATCGGACGAGATCAATTTGCTTATAAAGAGGGGACAAATACTACCGATGCTCTGATTATGTGTTTGCATCATTGGCTCAAGTGGCTGGATGAAGGTGCAGACTACGTTAGGGTAACATCATTTGATTATAGGAAAGCGTTTGGCTCGGTATCCCCTAACATTATTTGTGAAAAATTGAAAACACTCGAAATTAATCCGTATACTATAAACTGGATTATTAGTTTTCTGGCCAACAGAAAAAAAGAGTTGTTGTTGATGGCATAGAAACTGTTTATGTTGATATCAACAAAGATGTACCACAGGGTACGGTTTTGGGTCCCTTTCTATTTTCGTTGATGGTTAATGATATAAAACCCATCGATGCGCAAAATAACCTATTGGTTAAATTTGCTGACGATATAACGACAAGTGCTCCAGTAAAATCAGGATCGGATTCTGCTGAGGCTGAGGTGGAAAGCATTCAGAATTGGTCGGAAGCAAATCAAATGACATTAAATCTTTCTAAAACGTGGGAAATGGTTGTGCACTCTGGGTCCATGAAACCGTTACCGGCACCGATTGTAGGCATTGAACGAAAGAGCTGGTTGAAATTATTAGGTGTCACATTTCAGGAAAATCCATGTTGCTGGGATCTTTATATCGATGTTCTTCTGTCGAAGGCCAGCGGGCGTATGTACATTAAACGATCCTTTATAAATAGATGTCTTTTTAACTATTTTTAACTTTTATACAGGGTGTATCAAAAAAAGCGCAACCTCGACTGAAATGTAAATTGCTAAACAAATAATAGACGAAAACGTTAAAGTTTACATTCATTTTAAAGCGTAGCCATTCAGCTTTCTAACAGTGGGTTGTTTCTTAAATTTGACTCATTGGTTCGCGGGTAATAATAATTTACGTTATTGCGATTGGAGATTAAAAAAATTGAGATGGAATAACAAATCGTTCTCATGAAAATAACTGATTTTTTCATTAAAACAAAAAAATGTTGCATTTTATTAAATGGATTGTAACAATAAGTATAATTACGGCTTTTCTTCCACTATTTTTAACTCAGTTTGAAACTTCAAATGCGATATAATTTTGGCTTGGACCATCTAAGGTGACTGACATCAACTTGCTATAATTTCTGTTTACATTACATCACAATTCGATGACACTCTGGCTCAGACACCAGAATGTTTTGACGATTTTTAGCATTCGTTTAGGATTTTCAAACAACCTGGTCTCTTTTAAAATACTTTTAATTTGTTCTTACGTGGTTTTCCAGATGTAGTGACGACAACATTAAAGTTTAAAGAAGAAAATTCTAACATTTAAACCGACTAAACAATAACATATAGTAAACTTGCATAATTAAACAGCAACTAAAAATGATAGGTTTTACTAAATCTTTTCCTGTGCAATTATTACTAGCATTGGAGACAAGGATAATAGTTTGTTTGAAAGAGAAAAGAATAGGCTTTGAAGTAAGCCTAAAAGCGTTTAACTAGAAATAGTATTTCGAAAGTTATTAAGCACAAAAGATGAATTGCGTTTATTTTGATACATCCTGTATAATTAATTAGGATAGATCAATTTTTTTAACTGTAACAAATAGCAATTTAACATTTGTAAAGTTGCACGTCTGTTGTGACTCTAGACAATAAAGACTTTGTTTTAAATATTGATGTATTTTTTACTTTATGGCCCAATTATAATTGCTTCAAACACTCATTAATAATTCATAAGCTTATTGGCAAGTCATGCCAACCATAATATGTGACGTGCAGTGGCTATAAACCTGATAAAACACTCCTAATTAGTATTCTTTATATAAAGAATGCTAATAAGGTAGTATCTATTAGTAGTAATAGACCCCATCTGGAGTACAAAGGGATGCCGCCAATAACGTCACGTTGCTCCGAAAGTAATTAGTATGCAAAATTTATGACGTCACTCGGGCAAGCCTTGTCCAACAGTGACAGGTAGCGCGACCAATTAACGCGGACAGGCCTGGACCAAATGTGGCAGGCAACGCGATCGATTAGCATTACAATACAGTAATGAGATCAATTAGCGGCACAACACAGTAACGCGACCAAACAAATTATCAGAGATTATAAATATCGTGTTTCGAACACACGTTTCATTTCTCACTGTTGCATTTTGGCAAGCGGTCTCTGGTTTTCTCTGATTCTCAAGTGTTGTCTGTTGGATTGCGTTGGATTGTTTTTAATGGCTCATTCGGTAAGTAAATGTAGCGTTTTGAATATATGTTTACGATATTTTCAGAGTCATAGGCTGGATTAAGTTGTTTTTGAATATATGTTTACGATAGTTTTAGATTAATATGTTTATGATATTTCTAGATTAATATGTTGGATCTGATCAAAGCTTGTGCAGCTGAAAGTGAACTCGACTTTCTTCAGGAGTCGTTAACGTTTATGCTCACTGATGAGCAGAAGGAAGCTGTCCTTCAACAGCGCATTATATTTTGGACGAACGCGATGGCCGAAGATATTGAACGGGAGAATCCGATTGGAGTTGTTGATGGCTTCATGGATAATTGGACCGAGGATCAACGTCGCCTGTTCAACGAAGACTGGGCCAATGATGATGGTTTATGCGAGGAACTCGAACAGTTGCCTGAACCGCCAGAAAACCAAATAGGTGAAGGGAGCAAGCGAAAGCACGCCAGTGATGACGCCCCCTCAAAACGCCAAAGACCAGAGGAGTATTTCACTATTAAATCAGCCAAGCAAGTCTACGTGAGGAAATTCAGGACGACAGGTACACATTAAACTGTTTTTATATTTTAAGCGTAACATCGGCTACGTGTGGGATATAGATTGTTATGTGCGAGTAACGTTTCGTTTTTATTAGGCTCCATTTACACTATACCGGATTGCTATCGGAGTGGGTCAAATTTTGTAGGTATCGAAAGGCTGTGAAGATTTTTAATCTCAGAGACCCAAATAAACATGCCAATTCTGTCAAACTAATAAGCATTTACTACTAGCCATTGCTCCGTAACGGCAAAAGAAGATGTAGTGACCAGCGAATCCGGTATAGTGTAAACAGGGTCTTATAAGAAACGTGTTTATTGTTTGGTGTACATCTGTAACTGGCTGTACAAACCTATCCGGCGAATTATTCGCCATCTTTTTATAAACTACGCCGCAAAAAAAGGTATTCAGCTGGATCCACAACAGATTGTCAAGAATCCTGGTCTGAGGGCGTTGGCCAAGCTCATGTTGAACTCTTTTTGGGGTAGGTGTAATGGCAAATTGCCCACTAACAGTACTTGTTTTTCCCTAGGGAAATACAAGAAGCGAGTCTATGTTAAAAACCTATCATTTCTTTTAGGAAAGTTTGCGCAACGACCCAACATGATCAAGGTCAAAATCATATCGGATCCAGCTGAATATTTTGACCTCCTATCCAGCGACCAGATTAACGTCACCGACGCGAACTTCATCAATGAGGAGCTCATCGAAGTCCACTTTGAAAACGTTGACGAATTCGTGGAAGCCGATGGAAAGACGAATGTGGTCATCGCCGCGTTCACCATAGCGCACGCCCGCCTCAAGCTCTATGGTGTCCTGGAGCAATTAAATCGCCGATTCCTGTATTTTGACACAGACTCAGTAATTTATGTTTCAAAGGAAGACGAATGGGAGCCGCCGACGGGATCCTATCTTGGACGTCAACTAACAGATGATGAGTTGGATGGAGGTTACATTACCACTTTTGTCTGGA